TCTGTCTCTCTCTCTCTCTCGCTCACCCTTCTTCCCCCTCCCGCCCCCCCGGGTCACCCCTTTTCACACACTCTTACGTACACAAACACACACTGTTTAATACTGATATGCAGATAAACACCAGCACACACTGAGACACGCATACAATCACCCACACAAGCGTGCTCACACAGAAACGCATCCACTCACACGCATACTTCATACTTCGTCACACATACCCACGCCAACAAAGGCCTTGCACTTCCTTTGCTGAAATCCAACGCATTATTATTTTATTATGTACAAAATCAATCATAATATTGTTGGTGCGATAAAACGATGCTCATCATCGATAAACAAATGGGTTATCTGTAATGCAACACTTCTAGTATTGGCAGTCAACATCTTGATTGAGGTTACACAACAGATGAGGGGGAAAGGCCCACCGTTATAGCAGTGACAGAAGTTTAATACATCATTCTAAATGACGCACATATTCCGCTACCTCAGAATTACAAAATTCTATTTGCTTAGAGCCTAGTTTTCAGAAATTTGACGTCCAAGAGTTTGTCAAGCTTTTTTCGAAGGGAATTCTTTGAATGTCTTGATTACGATTCCGAATATTCTTAAGATTTTGATAGAGCAGATAGAACATTTGGTTCCTGACCTTATGGTCATAGTAACTCAAAACAGCCAAAAATGTCAGAAAGAACATTGTAATTCTGATGTAGCGATTCGTCACTGTTGTCTAAATCCACCCATGGTAAAACCAACGCCTCTAACCCTAGGACCGGAGCCAGCTGCCCCCTTTCTCCCCCGAGTGACGAATGGGCAATTCCCGGAACATGGTGGTGAGGACCACGCCGAAGACACACTGGACGAGGCCGATCATGGCTACGATGAAGGACCAGCCCGTCTGCTCGTCCTCTTGGCCAGGCACTCGCTCCGCCTTGCTTCGAATCTCACCGGCAAAGATCACCATGCCCTTCAGAACAAGCACGGCTTGGTAACAAAGAGAGAGAAAAGGGGGAAAAGGGAGGGGGGGGGGGGGGCAATGTTAATGAGACCCAAAAACATCAAAGGTTTGAATCTATGGACTAATCGGGTGATTTGTTCGAATGTGAAAGAAAAATAAAGCCTTGAAAAAAAAGCGAAAAAAAAATCCGCAGAGAATGCTTTGACATTGTCAATACAACTTGATAATATATAGTAAGGTTAAAGTTATCAGAGTATTATTAACATTGGAAACAAATATTAGTAGATGTACCGGTACGCTGCAGACATACCTTTCAGTTGCAATGTCTCCGTGCATCATCAGCTGCCCAACAACCATTCTTCCAGTCCTGCTTCTTTCCTCCTCCTCCTCCTCCTCCTCCTCCTCATCCTCGTCCTCCTCCTCCTGCCCCTCTCCATCCTCCTTCTACTCCTCCGACCCCCCTT